TGCAGATTCTGCACAGAAAGGAACCTTCTTGCTGTGAGTACTCAGCCACTAATCTTGAGTTGAGTTTTGGTCCAAGGGTTGAGGCCCTTGTGTTCTGTCACTTTTTTGTGGCTGTCAAAGTTCTGACCCTTTGACATTGGATTTGTGACCGACATAATCTTACAGGGATCTTTCCCTGCTGCATGTTTCACTGGTTTTATTGGTCTGTTCATGCAGATTTTAACTCAGGTACATGACTTTAACTCAGGTGATATTTCTGTGTGATCATCATCATCTCAAAACAAGGCTTGAATATGCTGAGGATTTTAAACTGGTCCAAAAGTGGGCTATATTCTATATTCACTTTTATGGAGACTGCTGGTCTCTTTTGGTCTGATCTGGTTTAAATGTGGACCAGATTAAATGTTTACACCATAATTTCCACAGGTTGCACTTGGGTTTGGGCCCTTGTGTGTTTTTGGTGTGTCCCTCGACTGGTTTTAATATGGGCCCGATTTAAACAGGCTGGTAAAACATGTTACAGTTCGGTGAAACTGAAATTACTTATTGTAAACTAACCCTTCAACAGTTTCATATGGAGTTAAAAAGGTCTGAAAACTGAGTTGAGCTTTGGGTTGTGTGTATGATTTATATTTGGTTTGGTCTGAACTGGTCTAAACGTGGGCCAGATTTGGACTGCTTTATAGAGTGTGACGGCTCTGGTCCTAAACCTTACACTAAACTGAAAGTCTAGTAGGTAGTATCCTAATCCAACTCTTCCACAGGTTTGCACAGGGTCTGTTCATTTTAACCTGTTTGAAATATGTTGACATTTCTGTTTAAACATTGTATTAACTTTACAGGGTTAAAGGTTAAATATCATATTAATATTGCCATTGTCTATGATGTAAAATTGTTTCGGGCTTGTCTTGTGAAATGACAGTTCTAACTCTAACTCTTCTGACTCTTCTCATTGCAGATCTAAACTGTTTTACTTAAAGGTTGTATAGAGGATTTTCCAAGGAACGAGAAATCCAGCGACTGTTTGTCCTTTTTCAAATGTTGCGCATGCGTGAAACCACCCCCCCTCCCCCACAGCTCCCTACGTAGAAACGCCTCCTCCCGCCTCCTCCTTACGCCAGAAACAGGTTTGTTTACAGCCGGTGCGCTGCACATGACTTGTAAACAACTAACTACAGTGTTGGTTAGGCAAAGGCGGAGAAGTGAGGATCGGGGGAGGGGGTGCGCGGACATTTCGTGCGTGGAGAAGAAGTGAGGAGCAGGGAGAAGAGCGGAACAGGCAGCGGGGAGAGGAGCAGGAAAGGGGTGCAGAGAGGGGTGCGCGGAGATTCCGTGCGAAATGAACTAGCTACAACACGCAGCAGCAAGCGGACTCTTTCTTTGTCTTGAAAATTACATTTTCAGGCAGAGGATATCGCATTCGTGTCCTGAAAAACGTTTGTCTAGCTCTTGGAAATAAAGTACGTTTTCATAATAAGCAGAAGTGACCTGTCCAGGAGTAATTTGGCGACCAATGCGTCAGTCTTTAGACCCTGCGTCTGCTTCAGTCGTGCCATCGCTGGAATGAATCTCCAAGAATCACCTGAGTTTGGCTTCACTGCTTTTCCCCTTGTCTTCTACTTTCAGCGACCTCAAAAACGGACTTTCTTTTGCGGCGAACTGCTCCTGGATTCTTGTCGCCATTGCAACAAACTTTGTGCGAACTGCGAGGAAGATATAGGTCAAAAAAGCTGCTAAGAACTGTTGCGTTGGTGGAGTAAACAGCGTCTGTGCGTCTTGCGTCTGTGGACTGCGTGACAGGCGTACGTAAACCACGTACCGGCAGCGCGCAGGCAAGTCAGTTACGCTAGAAATGTAGGGAGATTGATTGACAGCCTGTCAGCTAACAGATAACGAGGCAGTGTCGTTATCTATTGGCAAATGTTTAGCTGGCCCCACCACGTCCAGAGTTGATGAATTTTTATTCTCTTTTTTTTGGTCATCATAATTACAAGGCTACTGCATCTCTATAATCTATCATTGACAATTTGAAACAAAACTAAATCCTCCATACAACCTTTAACTTTTAAACTAGTCTTCACAGGTCCAGAGGCTGCTGTTTATGGTGAGTATGTCTGCACGCACTTACTAACACACTAACTCTGTACAAGCACGGGCGGTGGGTCTAATCCAGCCACAGAGGGCGCTGTATGTGTCCCTTTGTGCCAGTCCCCAGCCTGGATAAATGGAGAGGGTTGCTTTTGCATAAAACCTGCCTCTTTTATCCTGATCTTAAAGTGTGTATGGCACATTTTTCTAATTATTTTTACTTGGTTTGGTGATATTTACTTGTGGTGAATATTTATCATAGTTTTACATTTTTATATATCAGTCTTGTGTTAGTTTCTGGACAAAAGTTGAAAAGAAAAGCACAAAAATAAAGGACATAGTGGTTCTAAGAAGGAATATGTCTGTAATCAAAACTTTCAATTGCAGGGATAATTGAACTATTGTGTAATTTTAGACACGCCACTTTTTCATAGTATGGTTGCTAGGTAAAAGTTATTAAATTGGTTCTGTATCTGCTGTCCGTGTTCAAACAGGAAATTAAATTAGAAATCTTCATAAATATAATTGCTCAAATGCCATATGCACTTTAAAATATTTACTGTACCAACTTAAATCTGTATTTTGTCTTGTAGCTTTAAAGTTACATTCATAGGTTTGATTTAGTCGTCATTATCAAAATGACTCCTGCTGCTAGAATAAAAAGTACAAACTATTCTGTAAATCTGTAAATATTGTAATGTTGAATAAAATGTGGAATGTGTATAGAATTTAGAAAGAAAAATTTTTCTCAAACAAAATTATGAAATGTGGGGAAATCTGACAGCTGTGCTATACTTTTGAATTTTTTACTTTTGACTGAGTATTACAGAGGAAAACCTAAAACCAAGTACCCCACATCGCCCAGAGCAGTGGCGTCATCTGCTGGAAAAGGAATAAAATTTCTCCTCAGTCCTTCAGTCCCTTATTTTTAAATAAGTTGAAAACGACAGAATGAAGGTTTTCTTTATTAAGTCCCACTTGATTATTTTATAGGATAGACTATTTAATAGTTGCTTTTTTTCCTGAAAAGTCATAAACCTGTCCTACCCCAATCAGCTGACCCAAACCCTGTTGTGGCAACCGGTAGCCTGTTTTGTTTTCAGGTTTTTCTATCATGTCATTTGTTAAACGTGTTTTTAGCTGAGGTTTGTACTTCTGTTTCATTAGAGCTCAGTTATCGAATAAATGTCTGTGAGCCCAAGCTCATTGTCCGCAGACGAGCGAAAAGCAGAAAGACATGAGGCAATGAAAGAAGCAGGAACTTTCACCTGAAGCACCGGAGTGCAGCTATGAGACACAGGTATAAATACACAGGTACAAAGACACTATACAAATACATGGTAAAACACGACCGGAGCACCGTTTATAGAATTCTTATTACAGATCCATGCCTCCTAACATTTATCAGATTATTAGACTCACACGCAGCTGTAATCAGGTTAGTGTCGGTAGAGGTCTGCACGGGACAGAATTTTCAGTCCCGCTCCCGCCCGCAAATCCCGCAAGATGGGGACGTTTACTTAAGATCTTTAGCTCTTATCAAACATGTAGAAGCGCAGGAATTGTCTAAAATGTGCGAGAGATTAGACCACATACGGAAATTTAGGTTACTTAAAATGTTTTTTATTAATACCAAATAAAATATCCAGCACAAATTATGCATGATATGCTTACATTCATCATTTGTATGTTCTACTTTACACTCATATTTAGTTTGCGGGAGTGCAGTTTATCATCCCAGCCGCCCGTTCCCGCGTGTAGTCCCACTCCCACCCCCTGTCCGCACCCGCAATGAGCTTTCAAAATGTGTCCCGTGCTGTAAAAAACACCGTGGGCACTGCGACCGCTGGGATTCAGGGGCAATCGTTTGCTGCTCTTTCTGCCTCCACCTGCTCGTTTCTGGGCATAAAAGTTTCAGGTCTTAAGTCTCCTTGGTGCCCTAGTGCTAATATGGACTGGCTGTAACTTTTGTGTAAAGGTCAAGTTAGATCTTTATATACATTAACAGTCCATGGCATTTAATAATAAGGTTACGCTTTTATTTTGGTGACTTTCTGTGTGAGCGGAAGTTATGGTAAAAATGTTAGCTTGGTATACAGTAAAGTAAACACAGAAACGTTAACAATAAAAAAAATATAAAAAAAACAGTAATATATATATATATATTATATAAAAAACAATTGATTGATTTAGTGTTAAAATATGGATAACGGTTAAATTGTATAATGAACTAGTGATACGGTGATCATAAGGTAATTTTTAAATTTTGTTTCTGTCTGTTCTATGACACAGCAAGGAAAAGATTAAAAGTCATGTAACCATCAGTTCTGGCCTTCTCAATTCGACTGGATGTTACATTTAGATTTAAGTGAAAAGTGAGACTAGTTTTTCAACCAGCTCGTACATTCTCTCGGACTTTGTGTGGCAGACCTGACTGGACCGGGACTTGGCCCAGTTTGATCTCTTCATATTGGAGACAACCAATAGGACAGTGGGTAGAGGATACACTCTGCATCAGTCCCCTGGAAAAGGTAAGAGGCTTGCTTTCGTTCGTTATGGGCAAATCTGTGGGCGGAGCCTCACAGGTAAATAGTGTTAATAGTTAAATAGTGCGTAAATGAGCTCAGAGCCAACGGAGCCGCTCCACTTGTTCTGCCGTGCGCTGTAGGTGTGGCACTGATGCCGTGTGTTTGTGTTGTGACCTTAGTCTCTTATTGTAGTTTTGCTGATGTTGGATCAGGTTGTGCGTTGTGCTCTGATGGATATAGTTCAGCCAACAGTAGCCAAAATTACTGTGTGTTTCTGGCATTCGTTATAATACTATATAGCCGATATAATACGAATATTTATAAGATATATTTATAATTTTGGCCTGTGCGCCCCCCAAAACTTTATACCACTAGCCGCCACTGATGGAGATCATAGAGGAGTATGATTTCTGTTTTCCACATCTGTTCAATGCTTCTTGTATAAAGATTACACGGCCTTATGCTATAACTATGCTTGTTTACACTGTGTTATATTTTATTTCAATGGTGACTACAACTCTCAACCTGCTGGTTATTATTTCAATCTCACACTACAAGTAATTATTCTTCTTTCTACATATGTAAGAAGGTGTGAAATGCATTTCACTGACAAACTGTTATCATCCCTCTAGGCAGCTCCACACACCCACCAACCTCCTCCTCCTCTCTCTGGGTATCTCTGACTTTTCCGTGGGCCTTCTCATGTTTTTACAGACTCTGTTTGTTGATGGATGTTGGCTATTAGGTGATGCCATGTGCATTGTGTATCAGTATCTCTCGTATGTTGTTACCTGTGCTTCAATGGGAACAATAGTGCTTATATCCGTGGATCGCTACATTGCCATTTGCCAGCCTTTACATTACTACACAAAAGTCACCGAACATAGGGTTAGATTTTGTATATGTCTTTCCTGGCTTTGCACTGTGGTCTATAGTGCACTGGTTCTTAAAGATAACATGTCAAAACCAGGCTCCTTCAACAGTTGCTCAGGTGAATGTGTAGCAGCCATTAATTATTATGTAGGAATTGTTGATCTTTTTATATCTTTTATCTTCCCTGTTAGTGCTATTGCTGTTTTATACATGAGAGTATTTGTTGTGGTGGTGACTCAAATTCAGGCCATGCGTTCCCAGATCACTGCGGCAAAATCACAAAGAACTGTATACGCAAATAAATCTGAACTAAAAGCTGCCAGAACATTAGGAGTTGTGATTATAATGTTCCTCATATGTCTGTGCCCATATTATTTTGTAGTGCTCACAGGTCAGGACACTGTACTTAATGCCTCAAATGCCGCTGCTGTGCTTTATCTAGTATATTTTAACTCATGCTTAAATCCAATTATATATACCTTTTTCTACTCGTGGTTCAGAAAATGTCTTAAAAACATAGCAACACTTCAGATACTTAAGCCCGGTTCCAGTAAGACTAACATAATGTCCACTGACAAATAGTGTGTAAGGTGAGTTGTGTTTTTCAATGTAATATACAGTAACTTGAAAGATCAATAACGTTTGCAAGTATTACCCATATGGAAAAGGTATAGACAAATCATACACCATTTTAACATGTTTTAAGTGAATCCTAAAAGATTTGTATATGACAGTGAAAACATTTGCACGATCTTTGGTAAATATGTGCAGCATGAAACATAAAACTTTGTAACCTGCAAGGGCTGAATATGACACTAATCCCGCATACAATATCCTTACAAGTGTTGGAGAAATGTCATTTTTACCACAGAATAATATAAAACGAGTGAAATGATGATTGTTTCCTTAAACTGGATTGCTGTGTAGTGTGTGTATGAGAGTGAGAAAGAAAATGATCACAGTCTGTGCATGTGTTTGTATGTGTGTGTGTGTTTGTTTGTGTGTGTGTGTGCGCGCCTGCGTGTGTGTGTGCGGGGTGTGTGTGTGTGTGTGTGTGTTGGGCAGCATGGGGGTAAACACAGTAATACAAATATTGCATTACAACCTTCAAAAAAAAAAGATAAGACATAGCACTCTTCCACTGATATCACAGTGAACATACAGGCTGTGAAAAAATTTTTAATCGGCAAAATCCTGTAGCCGCTTTCCATGTTGCCTCTTCAAAGTTGCCATTTGCTTGTGGGATACCAAGGTACTTGTAACAGTCCTCAACATCTGCGATTGTTCCCTTCACAAGTAGTAACTGGTTAAGTCAGCTGGTAATTCACTGGAATGTCACATGGGCAACCTGGGTTCAAATCCCCCTTCTGACTCAGATTTTGTATTTGTTTTTAACTGCAACATATAATTAAACAATAAAAACATTACATGGAACATACAAAGAAAATGTAGTTTATCATGCACATTACCTGTAAATGTCATGCAAAATGTTCACTTTATCTTTACTAGTTTTTCATAATATAGTTGTATGAGAAAAATGCAAAAGGGGCCACTTTCAGGAGTAAACCATACATGACACATATTAACCTGATATAAAGATTTACTACAAAGACAGTGGTAACTTCTTAGATTTTTTTCCAGTTTTTTTCCTTATGGGTATTCCATTTTGTAGAAAGTCTTTTACAAGATTACGGTTACTCATACTGTCCACATCCAAGCTGTTCGTGGAGAGCATGTACATTGCAAATAGGCATGTGTTGAGTATATGGCTGGTATATAAGGGAAAGAGCACTTTTTAAATAAACTTAATACATTAATACTTGTCCTGTCTGTGTATGGGTGTGAAGTATTTTCCAACACAAGAGCAGACAATTATATTTCTATCAATAAAATACAAAACTGATCCACTGATACCTTTACTGCTGTCAATTTGTGTACCCCATGTTTTACTGAAATTAGTACAATTCTGTTTACCCCTGACTGTGTCTTTTTCACTAAGTTATTTTAAATAGCATATAATTCATAGGATATTAACTTCTGTTTCATTTGTAGGTTATTGTTGTTCAGTGTTTGAAATTCCCACAGCTTTGTGTCAGTGAAGGCCTCACTGTGTTGCAAGCAGCTTCGGAATCACTGATTACAAACTTGCATTAGCGCACACGTTTTGTATCTCTTAAAATAACTGGATAGGGTATTGCTATCTTAGAGCTGTCTCAAGATGGATTAGTGGCCACTCAAAACACCATTCTCATCAGGCTCATTGCAAAGGGTGAACTTGAACTTCTAGTTTTGCACTACTGATCTGTATTTGTTATTTACACTTAAAAGTAATTTTGACAATTTCTAATACCTTATTTGATGCATGCCTTTTATTTTTATCATAGTGACAGTAAAGATATTCTGATTCTGACTGGCTGCTTCATAGTGGACGTGTGAAACCAGGAAGTGTTTTGGACCATTTCTATTACTGTAAAGTTGCCTATTATTCAATTAACCCAGGCTATCTCAAACAGTTAAAACTGAATTTGTTCATCTACAGTTTCCCAGATTACAGGAAATCACATCTATTTTGTTAAAAATGTCCCTAGATGCCCCACCACCAAATTTCTTTTTCAAATGTGTCCTCATTTTCTTTTTTCTGTTCTACGTGCTGCTTTTAGGCCAATTAATATGCAACAATGATGTGTCCTAGTAGTCACCAATCTCCCTCTCTAAAACCTTCAAATCAGGTTAGACTGTGTTGCTTGTGTACAGGTCTGCATGGCCGAGCATCAGAGTATGACATTTTCGGGATAGGGTCAGGCCTTCTGCTGGTGCCTACAGTCAGGGTTAAATGGGGAATATGGAACTTCCTGAAGATGTGAGACAGGTCTCTGACCTGTGCTGTGTATATGACTGCGCTGTTCTTTTTTAAAGTAAAAAATTATTATGATTATTTATATTTTACATTTTCATTAGGGTTTTAAAGCACTCCTTTTGTGAATTACTACAAATAAACTTGTCTTGCCATTTTTGTGTGTCCATGTTTTATTGCAAAAGCACATAGAGGGTAAGATAACTTTAAGTGTTGCTTAACTTCTAACTGGAGGGTGCATTTCAGTTATTGCTCATTGACAGTTCTGGGAAGTAAAAAGAAAATAACTTGCACAGTTTTTTTTTCTAACTGCATTCTGGTACAGTTACTGTTGCAAATAAGAAAAATAAGAATACTCCGCTCTTGCGATGCATGTGCAGTTTGTCCTTCTCATGTCATTTTTCTTTCACTATAAGATTAGTAACTTGATGTAAAAGGATTCAGAATACAGTACTCCGGTTAGCCCAGGTAATGGAACACTTTACAAAATACATTTAATTCAGGGTTCAGTATTCAGTAACTAAATTGCACCTAATTGCTTGTATATTTAAAAATATGTAAAATATGTTTCAGAACATTTTATTGTTTACAGACCCAAAAAACATTACCAACATTATATTATATGTTATGAATGACATCTAAATGAAAATATGACACGTTCAACATTGACTAGCCTACTCTTACTTTGTGGTAGATGCATTATTTGCACTGTGGACTGGTAAAAACAGGATTAGAAAGTTATCACACAACCTCTATACAAACACAATTCATTATGAGTTTTTCCTCTGTCTGAAAAAGTAATATGGAAATAAATTATAAACTGCGCAATAACATTTAGAAAAAACATAACTTCTTTTATATTTTATTTTCTCACTGGTGTAGTTTAAGTGTGCTGCAAAATCAATACAAAATTTTGACGGCACTGAATGACCCTGAGATAACCCTTGTAAATCCTATAGATCAGAGATAGAGCTGATAACCACAACCACAAAAAAAAAAAAAAAAAAAAAAACATTATCTTTTTTTAATGGGTTATTAAAAAACATCAATACAAAATACTGGGTTGTGATTTTTAGACATATTCAGCACTAACTTAGCTCAAAGAACATTTGTATGAGTAGAATGAGGATGCAGTATTTCCAGTGTTACAATTAGTTTCATTGATTTTCTGAACCAAGGATAAAATAATGCATAGACAAAGGGGTTTATACAAGAGTTCGTGAACCATAACCAAGTACCAAGAAGTGTAGCAGTGCTGCTGTCCACAATATCCTCACCAGTAAAGAATGGACTGTAATAGGGACATAGGCACACTATAAAAACTAAAATAACTATTCCAAGTGTCCTGGCTGCTTTTAGCTCTGATTTTCTGGCTGACATTGTCACAGTTTGCTGCATAGTCACTACTTTAGACTGCACTGAACGAGCTTGAGAAACTACCACAGTAAATATCCTCACATACAGAACCACAACGACAGTGATAGGAACGATAAAGGTACAAATTAAATCAACATTTCCAGTAATGTTGTTGAGCACTAGCACACACTCTCCATAACATGAACTTTGTGAATATGGATCTATAAGAAAATCCTTTAAAATCAGACTATTGTAAATGAGAGCACAAAGCCAACAAGCACAAATACAGAACCTAACCCTGTTAATTGTCACTTTGGTATTGTAATGTAATGGATCACAAATGGCTAAATACCGATCAATTGAAATAAGCACAATATTGCCAATTGAGGATGCTGTTACAGTGAAGACTGTCATATAATACAAAGCACAGAGTGTACTTCCCAAGAACCAGCAGGATTCTGTTAAAAGGATTTCAACTGGAAGCAGCAAAAGACCCACCAAGAAATCTGACACAGCCAGAGAGAGGATTAGCAGGTTGGTAGGACTGTGAAGTTGCCTGAAAAAAAGAGCATTTTTAAATAACAGCTACTTAAATTCCAAGTTTCCTATTTAATATTGGACAATGCTTTGCCTGAAGTGCGCGATGGAGATGATGACCAGTAGATTCATTGTCACTGTGAGCAGAGATATTAGACAGAGCAGGTTGTACGACAGCAGCACATCTGATGGATCAGGCTGAGGCTTTCTGCATGAGATGTTGTGAAGTTCTGGGTAGCACAGTTCAGTTGTCTCCATGGTTGCAGAGGCAGGTTGATTCTGAAGACGTCGACTTTGAATTCACAGATGATATTTATGTAGTCTTTGGGTTCATGCTTAACAAACCCTCCCATTTATAGCACTATTTCCTGTGTGTCCAGTGGGCCTCCCTGAAGTTTGTTAAATGTTGCTGCTGTTTTCAAAGTGTAAATAAGTAAGTTGTGTTTTTTCTCAAAAAACAATTACAAATATAGCCGCAAGCAGCAATGATCGGCCCTCGCGCGTGCTTACGCCACGCCCCGCAAACGCCACGCCCCGCAAATGCTGCACCTCACACTGACCTAATAAGCCTAACATTACCGTAATCGTAATCCTAACCATAGCCCCAACCCTAACCCTATAAGTCTTAATCTAACCCTGCAATTTTCAAAATTTGGGAAAAAAAATAAAAACCCAAGATGGCGGACTTCTGGTTTGAAAGGGGTGTGGTCACAATATACATTTTTGTTCTTATTGCCATGATGCATCTGGCTACCAAATTTGGTTTGGCTACGCCAACATTTGTGTAAAGACGTCTCATTGGCAAGGATACAATTTTGGCTTGTTGCCATGGCAACACAATGTAAATGGGGTGTGGGCATCATTGAGTTTTTAAATTGAGACCATGTCACAAATGTGGATACCAAATGTTGTATATCTGTGACAAATAAAACCTTATTTTTACATACAAATTTTCCAGGGGGCGCTATTGCACCCATTTTTGTATTTTCTTACATCAATCTGTTCAGGGTTGAGGTGTGAAGTCAGGATTACAATTTGAGTGAAATCGGCCAAAGTTTGTGCAAATTATCAGGCGTCGAAGTTTGATGGTGAGCTCCAAAAACGAACCCGAAATTTGCACCGTTGCCACGGCAACACCGTTTGACCTTTTAAAAAGCTTTTAACAACTTTTAATGTCCCACTTGTCTAGATGATACAGAATGATTCTGTCTGGGTCAAACGCCCTCGGACGAGTTCGTTCAAGTACGAGGACAGGTTGCTCGATCAATCCAATATGGCCGATTTCCTGTTGGTTGCCTAGAAACCACATAATATACTTTTTTGTTCCTATTCCCATGATGCATCTGTGTACCAAATTTGGTTTGGCTACGCCAAAGTTTTTGTTGGGCGCCCTATTGGTGAGGGCAGATGTTTGGCCTGTCGCCATGGCAACATGATGGGAAATGGCATGGGGTTGTCATTGACTTTTTTGATCGAGACCATGTCATGAATCTGTGTACCAAATTTTATATGTCTATGACAAAATACATTTTTGCACTACCATGCAATTTCCCTAGGGGACGCTATTGCACCCATCTGAGGTTTTCTTATATAAATCTGTTCAGGGTCGGGGTGTGAATCCGTGATTAAAATTTGAGTGAAATTGGCCAAAGTTTGTGCCAGAATTTGTAGATTTTACCAATGGAGAGTTTATATCATCGCTATGGCAACGCCATAAAAAGTATGACATGGGTGTCACTGAATTTTGAATCAGGATGCCAAAATGGAATTTTGTGCAAAATTTCAGAAATTTTTGAACAACTATTTGGGAACAAATGATTTTTTTCCCATATTAATTTTTGTTTCAATCTATAGGGGGCGCTAATGCACCAAATTAATAATTTTCACCTTAAGTAGCTTCAGGGCAGAGAGTTTAACAACTGTTTCAAATTTTGTTGAAATCAGAGTTTGTTTGAGCAAATGGGAGCAATTTGTAATTCTCCAAAATTGTATGCATTTTTTGTTGCTTCACTGCTCAGAGACCGTAAGACGTGTGTGAAAAATGTTGATAACTTTTGATGTTCCACGTCTTGAAATAATGTGGACCAAATTTGAGCTTGTTCGGGTGAACGCCCTCGGAGGAGTTCGTAAAAGCTTAGCAAACATTAAGCCAATACTGCTGCCCCCTAGTGGAGCTCACAGTGTTGGCATAATAATATTTTTTCCTTGTCTTGACATGATCGACTTCTGTGTCAAATTTCATGATTGTACGTGCAAGTTTTTTTTTATGTCATTCGTATTCCCGAATGCATTTTTGAGTCGTTTGGGGGCGCTGACGAGCCATTTTATTTCTGTTTGGAAAATGGAAATAGCCAAAACGTAGGGAAGCGCAAGTTTTACCAGATGGCAAAATTTCCAGGACTTTTCGTCATTGTTTAGTGGGTGAAAAATGGGTGAGTTGGTTAGGAGGAAAATAATAATTAAAGCCGCAAGCGGCTTTAATTTTCTGATACGAGAACAATGTTCCGCTTTTTTTCGGCCGACAAACTATACATTTTTGGAAACCTCTGGCGCATTGCTACGTCATGGCGAGGGTCCCTGGTCACAACGGGTGAGTCACGTCGCGCCATTTCACTTTCGGGCCACTTGGAGCATCGCTTTGCGATATTAATAGGCCCTTCGCCAGCCTCTGCCGGCCTAATAATTACTTGGTTGACAAGGACAAGACAAAGGTTTCTTTGAAGAAAAGTAAAAGGCAGTAGCTCAGTCGGAGCGTTTGTCCACTGATCTGAAGGTTGCAGTTTGAATCCCACACTGAATGTGTGCTTGGGCACTCGTGTGTGTAAATGGGTGAGTGGTTCCTTGATGTAAAGTATTTTGAGTGCCTTGAAGGTAGAAAAGCATATCATAAAAATGTGACCAAAAGAATCTCCCCCAGTTCATAGGGCATGATTGACAGATGGATTAGAGACACGCAAAGTTCATCTATGTCAAAACAAATATTTTGCATTTTACAAGAATGCTGTTAATCTAAAATGAGAGAAATAACATTTTCTTGAAAATGATGGGTGACTAATGAGGTCCTCAGTTTCACATGCATCACTGAAATATACATGTACATTTTACAGCTGTGTTTGAGCCTGGCTCAAGGCACAACAGGGGAAATGAACTCAGACTACACAAATATCAGTTTGAACTTTCCAGCCAAGCAGTCTTCAGCAACCGGGACAAAAATCACATACCGAGGTTTAACCTTCAGATTCTCCTTTCTCGTAACCTGTAATAAAGGAAGGCTAAGGAGTGTGATTCCTCTGTAGTTGGCACACACCCTGCTACAGACACCTGTAGTGCCCGGGCTCTTCCAGGTGAGGGATTCTCGCTGTTTTAGTAAATCAACAAAAAATGGGGGGGACTAAAAAGTTTAACAAGAATTAGGACTTTCCACAAAATGTGGTGTCTTTAGCATTAACTAAATTGAAACAGTTGCCTGACGAAATTTGAAAAAGTGGGTAAATGGACAAAAATGTCATCACCCTCCCTTCAGTGGTATTCTCCAGACTCAGCCAGTGCCTTTAAGAAGAGATTACTTTTTTTTTTTTATATTTCTTCATTTTTTGAAGGATTAGGATGAAGTATTTGTCATTGGGTTCCAGCTGTATGCTCCTTCATTACGTTTGCCTCTCTCCCCTCATTCCCTCATCTCTCACTCCCTGTCAAACTGTACACATGTCGGCGCAGATTTTTTGATTTCTTGTTAGGCTACATGTGAAGAGGTCCGTTACAGCCAGCGTTGTGCATGAACAAGTTCAACAGAACGTGTTCACCGAACACGTTCACTTTTTATAGTCAACTTTGAACTGAACGCAACACATTTGTAAATCAAGAACTTGAACGCAAATTTGTTAAAATTATGTGAGATGAACGACGTACGTCACTGTTGGGGTTCAGTTAAACGTTGGGATTTGTTTTCACCTGATTAGTCGACTGACAAGGTCTGCTCACACTTTTTAGGGCCTGGCTCCACTGCACGTTTACGAGCGTAACGTTGCAAAACCACAGCCGCACGTCAATGCAAAGGCAGCTCCACCGGCAACTGCAGCAGGACGTACACGCACAGCCGTGGCTCTGGGTTTGTCACTGGGAAAGCTGATCAAACTTGACTGGGTGTGTTTAGCCGCTTGGATCAGGTCATCAGTATCAGTGTTCTGGACCATTTCTATTACTGTAAAGTGGCCTATTATGCAATTAACCCAGGCTACACAGTTAAAACTGAATTTGTTCATCTACAATTTCCCAGATTACAGGAAATCACATCTATTTTGTTAAAAATGTCCCTAGACGTCCCACCACAAAATTTCTTTTTCAAATGTGTCCTCATTTTCTTTTTCTGTTCTACATGCTACTGTTAGGCCAATTAATATGCAACATTTATGTGTCCTAGTAGTCACCTTCAATCTTCAAATCAGGTTAGTAATAATAATTAATAATAAACTCATAAATCCTGTGCTCAGGTCTCTGCACTGGCCTCTGGTGGCTCAGAGAATAGACTGTGTTGCTTGTGTACAGGTCTGCATGGCCGAGCATCAGAGTATATGACATTTTCGGGATAGGGTCAGGCCTTCTGCTGGTGCCTACAGTCAGGGTTAAATGGGGAATATGGAACTTCCTGAAGATGTGAGACAGGTCTCTGACCTGTGCTGTGTAAATGACTGCGCTGTTCTTTTTTAAAGTAAAAAATTATGATTATTTATATTTTACATTTTCATTAGGGTTTTAAAGCACTCCTTTTGTGAATTACTACAAATAAACTTGTCTTGCCATTTTTGTATGTCCATGTTTTATTGCAAAAGCACATAGAGGGTAAGATAACTTTAAGTGTTGCTTAACTTCTAACTGGAGGGTGCATTTCAGTTATTGCTCATTGACAGTTCTGGGAAGTAAAAAGAAAATAACTTGCACAGTTTTTTTTTCTAACTGCAATCTGGTACAGTTACTGTTGCAAATAAGAAAAATAAGAATACTCCGCTCTTGCGATGCATGTGCAGTTTGTCCTTTTCATGTCATTTTTCTTTCACTATAAGATTAGTAAACTTGATGTAAAAGGATTCAGAATACAGTACTCCGGTTAGCCCAGGTAATGGAACACTTTACAAAATACATTTAATTCAGGGTTCAGTATTCAGTAACTAAATTGCACCTAAGCAGACCTTGATCATATTAATTGCTTGTATGTTTAAAAATATGTAAAATATGTTTCAGAACATTTTATTGTTTACAGACCCTAAAAACATTACCATCATTATATTATATGTTATGAATGACATCTAAATGAAAATATGACACGTTCAACATTGACTAGCCTACTCTTACTTTGTGGTAGATGCATTATTTGCACTGTGGACTGGTAAAAACAGGATTAGAAAGTTATCACACAACCTCTATACAAACACAATTCATTATGAGTTTTTCCTCTGTCTGAAAAAGTAATATGGAAATAAATTATAAATTGTGCAAAAACATTTTGAAAAAACATAACTTCTTTTATATTTTATTTTCTCACTGGTATAGTTAAAGTGTGCTGCAAAATCAATACAAAATTTTGACAGCACTGAATGACCCTGAGATAACCCTTGTAAATCCTATAGATCAGAGATAGAGCTGATAACCACAACCACACACACACACACACACACACACACACAAAAACCACTCCAGTTAATATACATTCTCCACAAAGCCTTTTTTTTTTTTTTTTTTTTTTTTACATTATCTTTTTTGAATGTGTTATTAAAACATCAATACAAAATACTGGGTTGTGATTTTTAGACATATTCAGCACTAACTTAGCTCAAAGAACATTTGCATGAGTAGAATGAGGATGCAGTATTTCCAGTGTTACAATTAGTTTCATTGATTTTCTGAACCAAGGATAAAATAATGCATAGACAAAGGGGTTTATACAAGAGTTAATGAACCATAACCAGGAAACAAGAGGTGTAGCAGTGCTGCTGTCCACAATATCCTCACCAGTGAAGGATGGGATGTAATAGGGACATAGGCACACTATAAAAACTAAAATAACTATTCCAAGTGTCCTGGCTGCTTTTAGCTCTGATTTTCTGGCTGACATTGTCACAGTTTGCTGCATAGTCACTACTTTAGACTGCACTGAACGAGCTTGAGAAACTACCACAGTAAATATCCTCACATACAGAACCACAACGACAGTGATGGGGCCGATAAAGGTACAAATTAAATCAACATTTCCAGTAATGTTGTTGAGCACTAGCACACACTCTCCATAACATGAACTTTGTGAATAAGGATCTATAAGAAAATCCTTTAAAATCAGACTATTGTAAATGAGAGCACAAAGCCAACAAGCACAAATACAGAACCTAACCCTGTTAATTGTCACTTTGGTATTGTAATGTAATGGATCACAAATTGCTAAATACCGATCAATTGAAATAAGCACAATATTACCAACTGAGGATGCCGTTACAGTGAAGTCTGTCATATAATACAAAGCACAGAGTGTACTTCCCAAGAACCAGCAGGATTCTGTTACGAGGATTTCAACTGGAAGCAGCAAAAAACCCACCAGGAAATCTGACACAGCCAGAGAGAGGATTAGCAGGTTGGTAGGACTGTGAAGTTGCCTAAAAAAAGAGCATTTTTAAATAACAGCTACTTAAATTCCAAGTTTCCTATTTAATATTGGACAATGCTTTGCCTGAAGTGCGCGATGGAGATGATGACCAGTAGATTCATTGTCACTGTGAGCAGAGCTATGAGAGAGAGCAGGTTGTACGACAGCAGCACATCTGATGGATCAGGCTGAGGCTTTCTGCATGAGATGTTGTGAAGTTCTGGGTAGCACAGTTCAGTTGTCTCCATGGTTGCAGAGGCAGGTTGATTCTGAAGACGTCGACTTTGAATTCACAGATGATATTTATGTAGTCTTTGGGTTCATGCTTAACAAACCCTCCCATTTATAGCACTATTTCCTGTGTGTCCAGTGGGCCTCCCTGAAGTTTGTTAAATGTTGCTCCTGTTTTCAAAGTGTAAATAAGTAAGTTGTGTTTTTTCTCAAAAAACAATTACAATAATTACTTGGTTGACAAGGACAAGACAAAGGTTTCTTTGAAGAAATGTAAAAGGCAGTAGCTCAGTCGGAGCGTTTGTTCACTGATCTGAAGGTTGCAGTTTGAATCCCACACTGAATGTGTGCTTGGGCCCTCGTGTGTAAATGGGTGAGTGGTTCCTTGATGTAAAGTATTTTGAGTGCCTTGAAGGTAGAAAAGCATATCATAAAAATGTGACCAAAAGAATCTCCCCCAGTTCATAGGGCATGATTGACAGATGGATTAGAGACACGCAAAGTTCATCTATGTCAAAACAAATATTTTGCATTTTACAAGAATGCTGTTAATCTAAAATGAGAGAAATAACATTTTCTTGAAAATGATGGGTGATTAATGAGGTCCTCAGTTTCACATGCATCACTGAAATATACATGTACATTTAACAGCTGTGTTTGAGCCTGGCTCAAGGCACAACAGGGGAAATGAACTCAGATTACACAAATATCAGTTTGGACTTTCTAGCCAAGCAGTCTTCAGCAACCGGGACAAAAATCACATACCGAGGTTTAACTCTCAGATTCTCCTTTCTCATAACCTGTAATAAAGGAAGGCTAAGGAATGTGATTCCTCTGTAGTTGGCACACACCCTGCTACAGACACCTGTAGTGCCCGGGCTCTTCCAGGTGAGGGATTCTCGCTGTTTTAGTAAATCGACAAAAAAAAGGGGGGGGACTAAAAAGTTTAACAAGAATTAGGACTTTCCGCAAAATGTGGTGTCTTTAGCATTAACTAAATTGAAACAGTTGCCTGACGAAATTTGAAAAAGTGGGTAAATGGACAAAAATGTCATCACCCTCCCTTCAGTGGTATTCTCCAGACTCAGCCAGTGCCTTTAAGAAGAGATTACTTTTTTTTTTTTATTTTCTTCATTTTTTGAAGGATTAGGATGAAGTATTTGTCATTGGGTTCCAGCTGTATGCTCCTTCATTACGTTTGCCTCTCTCCCCTCATTCCCTCATCTCTCACTCCCTGTTAGAAAGGCAGTCGCTTTGTCAGGAGCGCCCTCTAGAGGTGCCGTGGGTTGGTGCATGCTTTGGTTCGGAGCGCACGGCGCCGCTGTTTTTAGTTGGTTCACGAGGCGCTGGCGAGCAGGCACGTGTCGACCACTAGAGTTGTGCGTTGCTGACTGAAAGTAGGTTTGTGGTGTTCGGACTATATGGACGTTTTATAAGTCCCTTGTTATTGTTTTGCGCATGTCGGGATGTGTTTATGTTGCTACAATACCTGTGTGTTATGTTTATAAGGGAGCCTAGATTAGCTTAGCAGCTAATGCTATTTTCGTGTGTCGTGCCGTGTATGTTCTTTGTAGTTATATTGTGTCTTTATTGTGTGCCTTTATTTAGTCCATCCATGTGTAGTATTTGTGTTTGTTATATACTTACCTGTACACCTTTTGCTTTAATCTGTAGTACAGTAACTGCATTTGTTTGTTCTTTTCTTTATAGACCACACATACAACATGTTGCCTGAGCGTCATTAAACCTAAATACAACATCTGCATCCTGTCTCCTGTGTCCTGACCGGCACTCCGGGGCGAATACCACAATCAGAGATAACACCTATACAGTCCTTAAACCTGAGTGATAGTGCTCTTCAATATTGGTCCTTCGAGCCGGATGTCTGGTATCCTCCTTGGACCTCAGGATGCAGCCTAATGTAAGAGCCAGTGAATCTACACGCCCCAAGCGGAGTGTCCAACCGCCTTCTTACCTGGAGGACTATGATGTGAGCTACCCCAGACCACTGAGCACTAGGGCAGTGCAGCCGAGAAAGGAAACCACTGAGTGGCCTGCACCAGCTGCAGAGGATTTCTACTCACCTGTATCGTCACGAGCCGTCAGTCCAGTGAGTCAGGATAGATGGTACTATACTGTAGATCAGTGGACATCATCCTTGCTTGAGGACACTTATCCAGAGCAGCCAGCAGGAGCCATTGGTGGGTTACCTTACTCATCCTCTTATCGAAGACCAAGGGAGCCTTTCCCACCCTCTCCGTCATCACGGTGGAACCTGCCTCAACCTTCTGGTGCAATTCCAAGTCATTCAGAAGACCTTCCACCTCCTATTGCACCGAGACGGCGCCTTCCTCCACGTGATAATGCACCAAGTCATGACAACAGTCAAGGTAATCAGGGGCCCCCCAGTATAACTCCTCCTGCCTCGTCTGCGGTCAATCAAGCTTCTATGATTGCTAAACTGGATAATTTGATGGCAGAGCTAAGACTTTTAAAGGAGCAATCTTCAGTGCCCTCACGTCCTCCTCCTCCTCCCAGTCAAGCGAGTGCTAGACAATATTACGGCCCTCCGCTGCCACAGAAAAGAGTGCACCCCTCAAATGACTACAGTGCGCATAGATCCCTACCGCCACAAGGGGGCGCCTATACACCACTGTATAGGCCAGATGCTACTGTCAGATACAGTGCACCACACAGATATCAAAGTCAGTGCCCAGATATGCAGCATGATCGGTCGTTTATGTCACAAGAGAGGACATACAAAGGCCCTACTCCCTCCATTCCAAACTTCACCAAAAGAGACCCGAGTGAATTCGCCCGCCTGAAAATAGCTCTTAATAATCTGCTCCCAGAAGACAGCACTGAGCTATTCAAGTTTCAAATCCTGATGGATCACTTAAAGCTGGAAGACGCTCGCCTAATAGCTGATGCCTACCTTAACTCTCCTATGCCCTATACAGACACTATAGCAGCTTTGACAGAGAAGTTTGGCCAACCTCATCAACTGGCCCTACAGAAAATAGCTAATGTTATGGATTCTCCAGACATCAGAAGAGGAGACACAGAGGGCTTTGAGAGGTTTGCACTACAGATTAGGGCACTTGTGGGCATGCTGCAGACCCTGGGCCAAGAGGGAGAGATAGAGCTTAGATGTGGGTCCCACGTGTCACGCCTCCTCAGTAAACTCCCTGCTGAGATGAGATCAGAGTTCCGCAGACACATGTGCCGCCACTCCAATGCAGTGTATGACCTGGTAGAATTTTCTGAATGGCTACAGCTAGAAACATGGTGCCAAACAAGTGATGGACAAAGGGGGAATTATGGTCATAAAGAGAGAGCCATCCCAAAGCCAGACCGCCGTCGTGATTCAAAGCCAGTTCCACGTTCTACTACTCTACTGCTTGGCGCAGAAGATGTCCCTCCTCAATCGGAGAGTGTCAGCACTGCACAGACAAATAAGAAAGGTAAAAATGCACCTAAAGCATATTGCCCCTACTGTGACACTGAGGATCACTTTCTAAGCCAGTGTACTACCTTTAAGTGTTTCGACAAGGCCCAAATGATTGACTGGATCAAAACTAATAAACGCTGTTGGCGCTGTGGGAGATCACATCAAGCTGCACAGTGCAACCTAAAGAAACCCTGCAGTAAATGTCAAGGTAAACACCTACTCATACTACATGAGGTTAACAGCAGAGAACCAAAGGAAGGCACCTGCTTGGTCAGCTCAGCCGCCGAAACGCTCTTCTTGGACAAGCCTTCTGACCCTACTCGTGTCCTCCTTAAAGTTATCAGAGTGCTGCTGCGAAATGGAGACAAGACATTAGACACGTATGCGGTCCTAGATGATGGATCGGACCGTACAATGTTACTGACTGCTGCAGCCCAACAACTGGAGGTGACAGGTACTCCAGAGAACATATCCCTCCGAACAATAAGACAAGATATCCAAGTACTACATGGTGCCTCTGTTTCCTTTGAGATATCTCCTACTCACCAGCCAAAGAAATCCTATAAGGTCACGAATGCTTTCACAGCTCAGCGCCTAGGTCTAGCTGAACATTCCTATCCCATTGCTACCTTAAAGAAAAAGTACAAGCACTTGTCCAATCTACCTCTACAATCCTTCAGCTGTGTTTCGCCATTGCTGTTAATTGGCGCAGACCACCCACACCTCCTGTGCCCTATAGAGCGGGTACGTCTCGGCCCTCCAGGAGGTCCAGCAGCCATCCACACTCGCCTAGGATGGACTCTGCAGGGGCCAGCAAGAACTCTAGAGTCACAGTTACCCCCTCAGCAATGCCTCTTCACGTCACTCAGCCCAGAAGCCATTGAACTAAAGCGGAATGTTGAGAAGCTGTGGCAGGTGGACATTCTCCCCTTTAGAAATGAGAAAGAGGTCACTAGATCCCGAGATGACATTGAGGCAGTGAACCTCCTCCAAGCCAAAACTGAGAGGGTGGAGGTGAACGGGATACTACGGTATGCTACACCCCTTTTGAGGAAGAAAGATTCGCCTCCTTTCCAGGCCCCTAAAGAAGCTGTGCTGCCAAGCCTTAAGAGCATGGAGAGACGCCTGGCACGAGATCCTGATAAGGCAGCGGCTTACAGCACAGAGATGAAGAAGCTTGAGAACGCAGGTGTGGTAGCCAAACTCAGACCAAAAGATCAGAATGAGAGCAGTGAGAGCTGGTTCATACCTCATCACATGGTCCAGCATAATGGTAAAAACAGAATTGTTTTCAACTGTTCATTCAGCTACAAGGGGCTCAACCTAAATGAGTGTTTGCTACCTGGACCTACCCTGAGCCCATCCTTGGTTGGAGTGCTCCTTCGCTTTAGAGAACACAGCATCGCAATCAGTGGGGATATCAAAGGAATGTTCCATCAGGTGCGCTTGTTACCTGAGGACAAACCCCTCCTGAGATTCATCTGGCGCAACGACAGAGACAAGCCTCCAGACATCTATGAGTGGCAGGTCCTTCCCTTCGGGACCACTTGTAGTCCCTGCTGTGCG